TGTTCCAATACTGGCCCTTGAGAATCCCAGAAAACTGTAAGCATCAATTTTCCAGTTGATGGTTGACTTTTGAACTTTTTCTTGGTCAGCAATTGAGGATGTTTCCATTCCACATTCTCCATTTACTCTCAGGCTCATAGTGATGAATCTGTGTCTCATCACCCATAATGATTTTTTTTAAAGAAACTTTTACCTTCCTTTGTGTATCAGTGCAGATTTTGTTTGCAGATGTCCAAACACTTCTGTTTATGTTCTTCTGTGAGTTGTTGCAGTCAGTACCTGTCTCGCACAAACTTTTCAAAACCCAAGTCTGTTGTGGATTACTTCTTAGAGCCGTGGCTGATTTGCAAATGATTTGCCACATAATCCACTGTCACTCGTAGATTTGACAAAATCTTTTCACGTGCACATCCAATGTTGACATCAGCCATGGATGTGGATAGACGTTTAAATGTAACCAAAGTGTGGATAATTTTTGACTCACACTTACACTATCTAATTTTACTTCTAAAATTTGTAGACTGTATAGTTTTATACCTTCTTTTATTCCTTATATTGATAGCTCTCTCTCTTTCTTTCTCTCTTTCTGTGTCTCTCTCAGTCAGGTGGTTATGTGCCATGGAGTTGATTCCAACTCATAGCCACCCCGTACAAGGTTTCCGAGGCTATACATCTTTACGGGAGCAGAAAGCCTCATCTTTCTCCCACAGAACGACTGGTAGTTTCAAACTGCTGACCTTGATATTAGCAGCCTGACTTGTAACCACTATGCTATCAGAGCTCCTTAAAAAGGAATTTAAAATTTTTACCTAAACCTTTCAAATAAGCAACTTTTGGCTTGCTGAATTTATGCATTTTATTTTCTACTTTATTGGTTTACATCTGCTTTTATCTTTATTATTTTCTTCCTCTTACTTTCAGTTTCATTTGTTGTTGTTCAGGTTTTTTAGAGTAAACGCTTAAGTCTTTGATTTTAATCCTGTCTCTTTTTTTAATAAAAGCATTTAAAGGTTTAAGTTACTAAGATTTGCTCTAGCTATATCCCGCAAGCTTTGATGTGTCCTATTTTCATTACCATTTTGTTAGAAATTTTCTAATTTCCATGCGATTGGTTTTTGACCCATGGATTAAATTGTGTTGATTGAACTTTAAATATTTGAGGATTTTTTAGACAATTTATTTACTGATCTAGACAACTTATTTAATTGTATTGTTGTCAGAGGTCATGTTAATATTAGATTCCATTGACTCTGTCGATCCCCGTGACCAAGTAGACTGCGCCATAGGATCGCTTAGGCAGTAATATTTATGGAGCACATTTCCAGACCTTTTTCCACACAGAGCCACTGGGTGAGTTCAAACGGTCAACCTTTCAGTTAGTCAGAGATCATAACTTGTATGATTTCCCTGTGAGGGATGCAATACAGGAATTGTTACTGTCCTTCCTGTAGATAAAGAAACTGGGGTTTCGAGAGATTGAATGACTTTCCCAAAGGCGTACAACTAACTTCTAGTTGGAGCCAGGGCTCAACATAGGTCCTCTGATATTTCTGCACATCCGCACCCAGGCAGACAAATGTACTGCATTCCTGTTTGTCCTAGCATTTCTTGGCACTTTGTGAGCATCAGTCCAAAGGAGAAATGTGTACAGAGATGAAGAGCACTCACCCTGGAGTCCAGACAGAGCTAGCTTCTAACTTGCTTCTGTCACTTACTAGGCAAATTCTAATTTCCCCAAATCTGTGTCTCCTAGTCTGTAAAATGGTGAAACTAGTTTAGAAAGTTATGATGAGTTTCAAATGAGTTGTATAGTTTTATATTGTTGTAAAACAAATTACATCAAATTGAACAGCTTAAAAACAACACGAATCAGGTTATTGACAGGGCTCAGTTCCTCATGGTTGCTTCCTTGCTAGCTATCAGTTGGGGACCACACTTGGCAACTAGAGGCTACTCATATTACCTGGCGCATGTCCCTCTCCATCTTCAAACCAACTCATTGAATAATTTCATGTTTCAAATCTCTGGTTTCCCTGTCTCTAAACTCTGTACCTAGCTTTAAAGGGCTCATGTGATTAAGTCAGGCCCATCACACTAAATCTCCCTTTCTTAAAACCAAATGTGCCATATAACATATCCAAATCACAGGAATCCTGGTGTAGCACTATAGGATAAGCATTGAATTGCTAATTGTAAGGTTGGTGGATCAAATCTACCAGCCACTCCTTGCAAACCCTATAGAGGGTCACTATGAGTTGAAATTGACACAGCAGCACTTAAAAGCAATGACAACAATCAGGAATGATATCAATTGTATTCATAGTTTGGGGGATTATATAGGACACGTATGAGGGGGCTTCAAAAAGTTTGTGGAAAAATTCCATTATCTTTTCATTTCATTTTCACAAACCTTTTGAAGCCCCCTCGTATAGCAGGAGATGGGGAATCTTGGGCACCATCTAAGAATTCTGCTTACTACATGAACTAATGTAGGTATATTGTCTAATGCAAAGTCTAGCATATGGTTGTTATTGTTGTTAAGTGCCGTCGAGTCAATTCTGTCCCATAGCTACCCTGTACAGGGTTTCCAAGGAGTGACTGGTGAGCTTGAACCGCCGACTTTGCAGTACAAGCCAACTTTGCAGTTCAGCTCATTAATCCATAGTGCCACACCAGGACTCCAGCATATGGTTAGCATTTAATAAATGTTAAGGAACTCTGATAGCGTAGTGGTTATGAATCGGGCTGCGAACTGCAAGGTCAGCAGTTCGAAACTACTAGCTGTTCCGCGGGAGAAAGACGAAGCATTCTGCTCCCGTAAAGATTTAAAGCCTCGGAAACCCTGTGCACGGTCACTATGAGTCAGAACCGAGTCCACGGCACATAACAACAACAACAACAATGATCATCCCCAGAGGGGAAAAGGAGATTTCTAATGAAAAGACAGCAGAATCAACAATGATACCTTTACATGTACCCCAATAAATGATGCCCCCACCTGAGTGATCTGGCCAGAGATTGTAAAATTCTAGGACGTCCTTACATGTGGGCTACCATTCCCTGTGACTGTCTTCTCGGTGTTGACACAGCTAGTTTAAAAAATGGAACAATTCTATCTTCCTGATTTTTATTCTACATAAAAGTAACCATTACTTTTAAAAAAGAAAAAAAAATACTTGGTATTTGGAGCATAACTGTAGACCTGTATAGAGGAATGGATCAGACTAAAATGTAATCCTGTTTAGCCTGACGATTCTACAATTAGGTGGAATGATTTTTCTTTGGCTTCATTGTACTAGTGTAAAGCATCACATTGGTCCTAGAAATTTGAGTGGGTTCTCGGAATAAAATTTAACCCCCCCACACCAGTTACTGCAAAGTCTCATTACACATTAAATCCATCATATAAATGGAATTACTAAAGAATATTGCACAAAATAGCTTCCCAGTCAACACATGGAAGCAATTCATCATGAACCGCCGAAAACCATTTGTTGTTTCTCTTGTTGCCTCAAGGTCAGAGGAGATGGTATGTTCTTATTTAGAAACCTGTCCAAACTCCCAAAGCAGTTTATAACTTCCCATACGTTGCTCTTCTCCACGCACACTTGTATTACTTGCCATCCAGTTGTCTTCGCAGCCTAACTTTCTCTGTTAAGATTTTTTTTAATTGCACATTCTAGACTATTGAATTGTTTTTTTCATTTGTAAGACTCTAGTATTGCCCAAAACACTGTTTTCCTCAAATTTCTCATTAGCTGTCAAACTCTAAACCAGTCTAATGCATTTTGTCCTGTAAATAACACAGATAAAAAGAAATTTGCTTCTCTTGATTAAAAAAAAATGGGGGTAGAAGTCTCCAACCTTATGGTGGCCTCCAAGGCATATCTGGACCCTGGGACTCTCTAGAGCACAATGTGGCAATCCCAGTTCTAAAGACTTCTTCAGAGCACCATCTGCAGCAGCCCAGAAGCCTTAGAAGGGGCCAGGAAGGGCTACTCTTGAAGTGTATGTGGTTGTTCTGTGAACTTATTTTTATGTGTTTGTTTCTCCAGGAACTAATCTTTAATTTCTTCACTCCCTCCTTGGTAGCTCCTTAAAACAGTTTGAAAGGTCCTTTGGTTCCATTAAGATGCAGTCATGGAGTCAGGTCTCTCTGTGAATCCCTGGGCTTGGTCCCCAGGCAGAGGGAGCTATAGCTGAGGCAGCTTGGAAATGGGAAGCACCATACCTGCTCCGTGCTAGGAAAACGCTGATGCAAAAGGACTCTGTGATGCTCTTCTTCCTTCCCACTGCTTTCCACATCTTTCCACCCCTCTCCAACTCTGTCTTTATTCCTGGAATTCCCAAGTGATACCCACGGGGTAGGGGGGCAACCAGGAAAGCAAGAATTGTGGCCAGCTGTGCTTGTTCACCTTCCACACTCCCCATTGCAAGGGGGTGCAGCTGCCAAACAAAGCTGTTCTGGGAGAGATGGTAGTTGGCTGAAGTGGGCAGAACAACCAGTGCTGGGCTCCCACAGAGCTCTGCCCCCGGGGGGCCTCTCTAGGGTCAGGTCATAGTGACAGAACCTGCAAATCCAACTACTGCTATGATTCATGGGTTTTCTTTTATTTTGCCCTGAGTTTCCTAGAAGTAGTTCTCTTTTAAAAAATCCCAGCCTCATCTCCACAGAACTCCCCTCAGGAAAGAAGAGGGAATTTTCCAGGCACAGGCCAGCACAGCCCCCTGAGAGGGCAGTAAGGGGGCCAGTGAGGGGTTGCTGAGAGAGGAGTTGGGGGAGGCTGTGGCTGCCCTGGCCTCAGTTCTCCTGCAAGCCCTGGGCTGCTGGCATGTGCAGACTCACCGGTCCTCCTGGGATTTTTCTCATGGGGTTTAGAAATCTAGAGACTGTGAAGAGAAAAATAAACCAATAAATAACCTGAATTATTGCTTCCTTGAGCTCTGAGAATCATTTTGAACGGTATCTCCAAGGGATTTGGTTTGTTTTTCCCTTTTAGAAGAGAGAAAAACCGAGATGGGGAGGAATCCAGAGCTGCCTGACATCCAGGCATCCTCTCCAAATTGCGTAGGTCAGAGAGAACATGTTCTTTATGAGAACCTGACATCTGTTGCTGTGAAGTGATAAGCTCTGTTAAAAGCTTGGCCATCAATTACCGTGCACACAGCCCTCATTCCGCAGTGGACTGAGCTTACTATACTAGCTTTCCAGTCTGCACAGACGGGCTGGGCCGGGCCGGGCCGTACCAGGCATTGAGTTCACAGCCCCTCAACTGCCTCACTCCCCTGAGGAAGGGTAGCAGGTTAGGGTGTTTCAGCAGGACCCCTCAGACCATCTTGCTCCAGAATCTCCGGCTGTGTTCCTGGCTTCCTTTGATTCTCCTCTTGCTTGGCTCCTTTGATGGGATGTTTTAAAGAGGAAACTCCTGCTCATCCTGCTCTCTCAGTGGAAGTGGAAAACTGTGTTAGGGTTTACTTTCTGGCCTCAGACATGTAAGCCAGAAGAAACTGCTGGGAACTTGGCTTGTCAGGAAAGCACATGGAAAGAGTAGCTGGAAGAGCAACACACCTGTGTCAGGGAAATTCATTCGCCTTTTGGAAGAATGACTGAGCACTCTGGCCTGAGCTGGGACTACCCCTCCCGGCCATTGGGAGCATGTTTGTGATAACCAAGCAACTAGTTCCTTATTTGTGTGTCATAATCACATATTTTCTCTCTTGGAAAAATATACAGATGCCTTATAGAGTCAGAAAGAAAAGGGTAGAGGAGCTGGTTTTGGATTCTTACAGCATACCAAAGTAGAAGCATGTTTATTAATGATATCAGAGTTGAAAGGAAACATGTGCAGTAAATGAAGAGAATGAAGAGAATAATGACCTGGGAGCTAGGAGGCTTGGGTCTCGTCTAGGCACCATTATTCATTTGCTGGGTGATCTTGAGGAAGACACGCATTCGTTCTGGGTAGTGAGCTAGAACTTGGTGGCTGCGGAGCTCTAATATAGCTCTGGGAGTTAAAGTGAGAATTGTGTTTAAGGTAGCTGAGCATACTTTTTATTCGTGTTTAGAAAATTCCATCTCTGTTGCCAGAGGTCAGACACAAATTGAAAACATTACTAAATAGAATTAAGTACACTCTGTACGTGATGCTTTCTGGAACAACCCATATCTGATATTTATAGAACACTTCGGTTGCAGAAAGTGCACACATATGCCCTGAACACACACCCAGTAAAATAATTCTAGATGTAGTACATTTTCAGATGTCAAGTTAAAACAACTTCTTGGGAATGAAGCTTGACTTTTCAGATGTGCGTGTTGCTTTCTGACAGGTGCCGCCAGGGGTGCTCAGGGCTGCCATGTGTGATGTGGAGTCCAGCCAAGGTGGGAGGGCCCAGTTGCTTGTTTCTAGTCACTTCTTATTAAGGCTTGGATTCTAGCAAAAAGAAAAGCATCGAAGAGCAAGCAGGACCATCCATTCAAGGCAGATCATTCATGGCAAGCAAAAATTTTGCTTTGACAGAAAGGGGGACTCTGCCTTATCTGTTTTCAGATCATTCAGTGCAGGGCCACCTGTGACAGTGAACTTGACTCTTGAGTTGTTAAAAGTGCAGGATTTACATAAATGAGCAAAAACAGGGAGAAGATAGTAGTGGGCAGTTGCCCAGTCCAGTCACCTGCAAAGTCAACAGCCAACAACAGAGCTGAGTTGGGTGATCTAGGCATGAGTGCATCCTAGGAGGGTAAGCATGGCCGTGGTGGACCAGAATCAGGATGTGGGACCTGGAGGAGCTTTAGGAGATCATCTAGTACATCCAAGTCTGAGTAGGGTAAGCCTTGCCCACTGTGGTAGAAATGAAATAATTGACATAAAACCTCAGCACAGTGGTTGCCATAGTGTTGGCAACATTTTCATGTCCTCAAAGAACTTGTTCAAGCCCATACAGTAACAAGATTAGAACCCTATCCCCTGATTACTGGTCCAGGACCCAGCCTAAGCTGCCTCTAACTCCAGAGATTGCTCTGTTTTCTGTTCCTTTGTTCAGAGGAACAGAACAGTGGAGCCAAGGGTTAGCATGCTGGCATACTTGTGCCCACCCACCTACCCATGGAGTGGCCTGGCATGCACACCTTCTTCTCATGGTTATTGTGCTCCTATATAGAAAAAGCCCAAGTTATCTATCCTTGGGTAAAAACATCTCAGAGTCTAAAGATTTGCTTCTGAGTACCTTTAAGAGAAGGCAAATGTTCCTAAGTCAAAAACTTATGAGTAGGGTCTGTGGGCAAAAGAGGAAAAGGGGTTTGTAATGGAACAGTCACTTCACAGCTGCCTTGGAACCAGTGGGAAGGCTGCACATTGAGAAGAGGACAGAAAAATTCCAGTGACTCCTGTCTTCCCAGACAGACAGACCCTCTGGCGCTTAGTCATGCTTAATGGAAAATGGAAGCCAAGAAAACAGAAGTGAGGCAGTGGTGATCCAGGGTAACCCTTAATCCAGAGACAAGCGAGGGGAAGTCGTTCACCTGCTTGTGTGTAATGGCTGGTCACGGCAGAGGTGCTAGTAGGAATCCATGGCCAACAGTAGAACAAGCTTTAGAACAGCTATGATGTTAAAATCAGACTTCCCAAAACTTACCACAAAGTATATAGGAAGTCACCATGCTGTGTGTTGCTGATGGTAAATTATTGCTAGTAATTCATTCAGCAAACTTGTAAGAGTATATACAAAGTCACAAACATATACCAGGAAGAGCCTCAAGTATACAGCCTGTTGATTGATTTTGAGATTCCATTCTGACAATGGGACTTCCTTGACTACTCTGTAACTACTTGTAGATTAACTACACATCAAAAGTGGGAGGATGTGTGACTCTTTCTGAAAACCCAAATTTTCCATTACTGAGCGATCATATTGGATTGGATAATCCTTAAACTATTATTCCAATTATCCAGAAAAGTAAAATTTGCATGAGCATGCAAGTAAAGGAAAAACAACATTATTTTTCTAGAAATAAATGATAGTGGACCATACAGTCCATCTTGCTCATGTTTTAACTAATGATGATGATAAATACTATTATGTACTTACATAAATGCGTTATATATTTCAACTCCTTTAGTTCTTATACTAGTCCTATGAAATAGGTACTGCTATTGCACTTATTTTACAGATTATGAAGCTAAGGCCCAGCAAAATAAAATCACCTGTCCTAACTCACAGAGTACCTTAATGTAGGACCTGAGGCTATGCCTCAGACTTCCTAACTTTTAGATGACGTTCTGCTCTTGTACTGTGCTGCCGCCTTTCCTCAGGTTTATTGCCTGAGTTATCCCAAATTCTCTGAGCAGCTCAGCTCAGCTTTCTAGACTTTCTGCCTTGGTTGATTGACTCTCAGCATTGGCATAGTCCCATGTGGATTTGAAATAGCAGACATTCTGATTCGATTTAGCCCAGATCATCAGCACTTTTCCCACTTACTAATTCATTAATTTAGCAGCTGTTTATGGAATTCAGAGTAGGTATCAGGCACCATTTTTTGGATGTATCCAAGACCGTCTCTGCCTTCACTGAACTAGGGTAAAGTAAAAATTCTACACAAATAACTCTCATATAAGGTAGTGACACAAGTAACATGAGAGTCAAGTAGAGCAGGAGCCCAGAGGAAAATCTCTGGGATCCAGGAAGCTGACAGGTAGAAGATGGGTAGGGTTTGAGTGTGCAGAGATGGAGGAGGATACTTCTTCCAGAGGAAGCAGTGCCCAGCAGCCCAGAGGATCCAGCTATACCAGTGTCCACAGAAGGTCGTAGAAGTAGATGAAGCCAAAGAGAACAAAAAGAGTGGGGCAGCGGGCTTCCACAGGGCAAGGGGGTATCAGCTCTAGAACCAGACCAATCAGAACTCATATCCTGGAACTGTCTAGTTAATTTTTTACCTCTGTGGTTTTTCCATCTGTATATGAGGATGAGCATCCTCCCTCATGTAGGGCTTGTGAGTCTTAAATGTGCTTGCATACTGTTGATGTTCTATTTATGGCGTCTGTTGTTACTGACTGTCATGCTGCCAGACATTTGATGGTTTTCATGCATACAGTAAGGTTTTACTTAAATTACAATAAGCTACCTGTGTGGAGACATATAATCATAATAGAGCCTTCTTGACCTTAAAAATATTAAGAAAGGCCATGAAAAGTTTAAGTTATACCAGCATACTGGTAAAACACTATAAGCAAATGGTCCCTTCACCCTTTCTTTGCACCTCAGTGGCCAGGGTTTCCAGAGATCTGCTCCTGTTCTCCAGAGTTAAGATTGCTACAATCAATAGTATTTTCTTATAGATATGCCAAATAAATAACACCATGATAAATGGAGAAAAGATTGAAGTTATCAAAGATTTCATTTTGCTTGGATCCACAGTCAACACTCACAGAAGCAGCAGTTAAGAAATCAAGCAATGTATTGCATTAGGCAAATCTGCTGTACAGGACTTCCTAAAAGTGTTCGAGAGCAAAGAAATCAATTTGAAGACTAAGATGTGCCTGACCTAAGCCATATTTTCAATAGCTTGACATGCATGTGAAAGTTGGACAGTGAATAAAGAAGACCGTAGGAGAATTGATTCATTTGAGTTACAGTGTTCGAGGAGATGATTAAAAGTACTATGGACTGCCAGAAGAACAAACAAATCTGTGTTGGAAGAAGTACAGCGAAAACGCTCTTAGAAGTTAGGATGGTGAGATTCATCTCTCATGTTTTGGACATATTATTGAGAGCGACCAGGTCCTGAAGAAGGACATCATGCTAGGTAAAATACAGGATCAGCACAAAAGAGGAAGACCCCCCAACAAGATGGATTGGCACAGTGGCAGCAGCAATGGGCTCAAGTGTAGCAATGATCATTAGGTTGGTGCAGTACCGGGTAGTGTTTCGTTCTGTTGTGCATAGAGTCACTATGAGTTGGAAGAAACTTGTCACCACCTAACAGCAACAACATGCCCCATGTAATATTTGTTGGTGGTGATAAGTGCCGTCGAGGTGATTCTGATTCCTGGTAACCCTGTATAGGATTGCCAAG